TGCAACAGGGGCTGCAGCCTACGCCATCGCCAGCGACTCACGGCAGCCCAGCTCCAGGTTGAGCTGTTGTTCAGCATCTTAGCTGTGGAGGACAGTGTCACTGGCCCTCATATGTGGGATCCAAACCAGGGCCCTCTGGCGTCCCAAGCCAGCTCTTAACCAATGCACCACTTGGACGGCCCCTAATGTTTCAGTTTTTAAAATTTTAATTTTTAAAAAGCTAACACATTCACATCATCCAAAAAGAAAAACACATAAAAGGTTGACAGTGCCTTTGACTTGTCCGGTTCCTTCCCACATCCTGCAGGTAACCGCGATTATTGAACTCATGTGTCTTTTCCGAGGACTTCTTTACACTTATGCAAGCAGGCATGAGTATACTGTCTCCCTTCTTTTCTTTTGGTTTTTATTTTTCTTAATAGACTGTTTTTTAGAGTAGTGTTAGGTTCACAGCAAAACTGAGCAAAAGGCACAGAGATTTCGATACCCCTTGCCCCCGGCCCCAGTGTCCCCCATTGTCAGCATCTCCCACCAGAGTGGGACATTTTATTTGTACAATCGATGAACCTACATTGACACATCATTGTCACCCCAAGTTCATAGTTGACGTTAGGGCTCACTCTCGGTGTTGTGCATTCTGTGGGTTGGCTGAATGTATAATGACATGTGTTCACAATTGTAGTGTCATACAGAGAAGCTTCACTGCCCCTGAGCAGAGTGGGGGCACCTAGGGGCCAGGCTGTAGCTGGGAGGCCCAGGAAAGGTCCGCTCATTCTTCAGAACCGGAAGTAAACCTGAAGCACTCAGCCCAAGCACAACCCGCTGTGTGTCCCGGACTGACCCATGTCTTTCTCCTCTCCCCAGAAGTGGCAGATGAGTCTGGGGACCAGTGAAGACCACCAGCATTTCACCTGCACCATCTGGAGGTGAGCTGTGTGTCCCAGCAGTGGGGTCTCCTGAGAAGAGGTGCCCTGGCTCAGGCTGCTGGGGGCGAGTGCACTGCTGCTCTGGGCAGCAGGGAAGGGGCGCACAGAGGGAGTGCCACACTGTTGGGAATTGGCAGGGGCTGGGGGGCTCTAAGGGAAGTACATTGACACTGAGGCCCAGAGGGGGTTGGGGGGACTGGGGAAAGTACAGTCCAGGCAGTGGCCACAGCACCAGGGAGAGGGGTTAGGTTCCCCAGATGCTCCCCTCCCATTGTCACCCTCAGTCACATTCATGGTTCATGGGCTCAGGCTCCCCTCCAGGGGCTGATGCCTTGTCCACCCTTCTCGTAACCCCGTTGCTGGTGCCCAGCTTGATGAGGGAGTGGTGAGCCCGGGTAAGGGATGAAGGAAAGGGAGTGCACGGCCCTGGGTGGGGAGGAGGGCACAGGGCTGCGTGGAATCGTGTTCCTTGGCTCCCCGGCCTGGAATGTGTCCCCACAAGCAGAAGCGACTTCTCAAGCTTTATTGTGTACCTGACATAGAAGAAGTCCAAGCTATGGCTCTGCCCTCGGGACCGGGGTGCACAGGGGACCGATCAACAAATGGGACACAGCAACAAGAGCGGTCACATTTATTAAAGGACATGGCACATTTTAGTCATACCTGCAGGCGTCGTCCCACAGTCTCCTGCTCAGTACCTTACAAACAGCCGGTGTTTACTAAGTGCTGTTGGGGAGATTCTTGCCTGTTTGGCCGGACTGCCCTGGGGCCCAGGATCCCAGCGTGCTCACCAGGCCAGACCCTGTCTGCACTGCCCCCTGGCCTCGGCAGCCTCACAGAGGCAAGGAGCCTGGGACGCCCTCATTACAGGGAAGGCCTGTTACGGGCTGCATTCCTCCATCTGCAGATCGCTGCCTCTCACAGGGCATGTGAGCACCCGTCCTCCGGGTGGGCACAGATCCAGGCCGCTCAGCCCCAGACACCTGCTGACCACGGGGCCATTGCTCAGCTAAGGGGTGCAGCCTAAATGGGCCTGGCCTCCAGGTTTCAGACATAGACCGACCCTCCATCTACACAGGAGCTTAGAGAAGCTGGGAGGTTCCCTGGACGCCACCATTTCCCCCCACCTCCTTCCTCCCTGACCTCCCTGCTGCCTTCTCCACCCCCACCCCCATAACTGCTTGCTTTCCACATGTGGCCAGATGGACTCTTCACACTGCAGGCATCATTGTCCCCTCACTGTTAGTCCTCCCTTCTCGGCTTCTCTCTGCTCTGGCCACGCTGACCTTGGGTTTGCCCCCATTTGCACCCTCTGAGGGACTTTGCAGCCACCATTCGTCTGCCCTGGACAGCCCTCCCTCTCTCCCTCTCTCCCTCAGAAAAAACAGCCTGTATTTCTCACCCTCCAAGATTTTACTGCAGCCCCCATTGCAATACCTGGGATGTCGTTGGCACTCAATAAAAAGCATCAGTGAATTAAGATGAGGGTCCCCGTCCTACCTCCTACCAGGCAAAGAGGCTTGTCAATAAACAAGCCAGAAGAACATTCTGGCGAAGAGGAAAGAGGGGATGATGTTGAGGGTCCCTTCCCAGTGTTAGCAATGCTTAGAAACAGTTTCCATCTTGATGAACTGGGGACATGCAGCCCTGGGTTGACCCCTAGCCCATCTTTCTCTGCAGGCCCCAGGGCAAGTCCTACCTGTATTTCACACAGTTCAAGGCGGAGGTGCGGGGCGCCGAGATCGAGTACGGCATGGCCTATGTGAGTATCGGCCATGCACATTGGGGTGGCTGCCCAGCGCCTTTCAGACCCCAGAGGGACAGGCAAGAGAGGAGATGGATAGCGAGCCCTTAGAGGGAGATTCTGTAATTTAGAAGAATATGGGACACTGTGCAGACCTCCGGGCCTGGAGGCACAGGGGGAGAGGGAGTGGTGGTGCCCAGAGAGGGACCTTGCTGACTCTAGAGGCCGGTGGGTAGGCAGAGCAGCACATGGACACTCTGGTGTCCCTTTCCTACCGCCTGCCAATCTTCTGCTGGTGCTTTCTGCTGGAAAAGCCAATAGGAAGCTCGAGGGCAGGGTGGCCTGGATGCTCAGCCCTGGGACAAGAACAAGGACAGCAAGGGTGACAGTGGCTCTAGAGGGGCAGGCAGTGTGGCTCACTGGTGTGTCTGTGGGGGCTCATGGCCTTTGGGCAGCGCCTTGTCCCCTACGGCCCCCTTCAGAGGCTGGTCACACTGCAGAGCCTACCTTGCTTCTGCACTGGGGCCAGAAAGGTTGAAAACCACCGGTATCAGTCCAGATTCAACCAAGAAGCAGAATAAGTAGGTGACGTGCATCAGGAGACTTATTGCCAGGAATTGGCTTCTGCCACAGGGTTCGGCCGAACAGGTATGGATTCCACAGGCCAGGCTGGCAAGAAAGGGCTGGCACCCTTAGGCACGGCCGCCACTGATGTCCCTGGGTGTGGTTTCTTCTTCCTCAGGGAAGCCTCAGCTGTGCCCTGAGGGCATTCCGAGGTCATGGAGGGAAATGGCCTTGAAGTCAGCTCAGGATGGACTTCTGTCACACGTACAAAATACATTCACAGCAGCACCTGGTGACAGGTTAATTACAGAACTGTGGACGTGGCTGCCCCAGGTTGACAAATCAGATGGACTGTTACACTATTGAACTAGTTATTCTCCATGGTCCCTTCTTACTTTAAAACTATTATTTTAGCTGATTTGAGAGACGCATAATTCTTATTTTTAAAAATTACATTCAAGAGATTGTCATGCTTGTCTCATTGCCATAAATTAAAGAAAAAAAATGAATTAAGTGCCTTCTTCCCAGTGTTTGCAGGGAAGGCATGAAGCTTTAAACAGGTTGACAATCTCTTGAGTGCATTAAGCAGCCACTTCTGGATACTTGTGTGTGCTCAGAAGTGTCAGCCAGCTCTTTAGTAAAAGCACGAGGCTTTAGTCTGTGCTTCTTGGGAAGCAAACCAAATCGTTTTCTTTCCTGATAATGAGAGTCCACTTTTTCTCTTTCAGTCTAAAGCTGCATTTGAGAGAGAGAGTGACGTTCCCCTGAAAAATGAGGAATTTGAAGTGACCAAAACAGCAGGTGTGTACCAATGGATTATGGACACGGAACCCAGGTACTCAGGGAAGGTGGGTGAGGTGACAACAGAGGGCCATTGGGGCCGAGCGGTGAGGGGGGACTACCCGGGTGTCCAAAAACCGTTCCTGTCAAGAGCCTCATAGTAAATATTTTCGCTTTTGCGGGACAGGCGGCCTCTGTTGAAACTGCTTAACCTGCCCCTTTAAGACAAAGGCCACCCCACATGTCAGTGATCGGGTATGGCTGCTGTCTATCAAAACTTTATGAACGTGGATATGTGAATTGCATCACTTTCTCATATCACAGAATACCATTTTTCTTTCGATTTTTGTCAAAGCTATTTAAAAATGTGAAAAGCACCCTTCGCTCACAGGCAGCAGGCCACACTGTGCCAATCCCTGATAAAGAGCCGAGAGCAGCAGGACCATCCTCGTTCTCCATGGAAGGCGGGAGGGCAGTGACCTTCACACAGCCCGGCTGTCCTGGGCTCTGTGACCAGGAACAGCTTCGAGATTGGGACTGTGTGCATGATGGAGGAGGCAGGGGTTACCTCCTGAGGTCCCAGGAGCCCACACTCTGAGTCACGTTCAGCCGTGACAGGCAGATGCTAAACAGAGAGGGTTGGGAGCCCTAGGGTTGGGGTTTGGCATGCCAGAGCAAGAGGGGACAAGAAAGTGAGGACAGTGGACACAGGAGCTGGCTGAGTCAGGGAGAAGCCCTGAGGGTCCTGGTTTCAGGGTAAAGAGGAGATGAAGAAACCCATGTGGCTGTGGCCATCACCAGGCATGAAGTGGAAGGGTGGGGGGTGGCATCAGTGGGGGCTGTAGGGAGGAGGGGCCTGGGTCTGGAAGGCGCACCACTTCCAGGTCTTCTAAGGACCATTCAGAGTCAAGGTCAAGGACAGAGGAGTTTGGATTACTGGCACACCCTGAGCTCCAGGGCACACAGAAGGTGCACAGGGAATCAGGGTGTGACTAGGGGGTGAAGGGTGGGAGGTGAGGGGGGTAGGGGGCAGAGCCCCTGACCCTACTGTAAAAGCTTTATATGGGCCTCGAACAAATTTGCCAGTGTGAGCAGGTGACACACCTAGCCCCAATCCCCATCCAGTCACAACGTGGCAAAAATAACCACAGTTCTTCCCACCTTGTACTTTCCTGTGGCCTCCCAGTTCCCCCAGGGCAGTCCCACCAGTCTCTACCATTCTTCTGTCCTTTCGGGGCAGTGATCCTTCCCACATGCAGCCCACTTTGGGAACAGCTCTCCTGCCCTGCCAGACCCCACTGGGCCTCACCCTGGCCCAGGACCTTGGGCATTTGTGGAGTGGTGAGGACTGTACCACATGTTTCTTCTTTTACAGTATCGCATAGACCCGGGGCGTTCAAGGCTGAGCTGTCCAAGCTGGTGATCGTGGCCAAGGCGTCCCACAGTGAGCTGTGACCGGCAGCTCCATTAAGGGAGGCTTTCCCTCTGAAGGGGCTGGGCCCCTTGAGGGCCGGCGTTTATAGGTTTTCTAGGGGGGACTGTTGGTTTTTTGCCCAGGCTGATGTTGCCCTGCTCGGAGGGGTTCGCAGGGCGGCTGAGGCCCTTGAACAGAGTTCAGGGGGCCAGGAGGTTTAGGTTGTGCTGGGCCCCTCCCCCAGCCCCCAGGGTCCCTGGCCCCACTCCCCTCTCAACGTTCTGAACAGAGTGTGGGTCTGAACCCCACACCATAGCTCATCTTGCCAGGAAAGTCATCAGCACAAGGTTGAGGGGAGGGGGCACCACAGCCTTTCTGAAGCCATCATCTCCCCGTGGCATCAGGCCTGGCTCTGGATGCTCTGGGGAGAGTGATCCTGCTGTCTCCGACCCCAAGCTGGCTGTTTTCTTACAACTTCCCCACGGGACCACCTTTCAGACTAACTGGGAAGAAATGAAATGTTCTTTTGTATTTAAATAAATAAGATTTAAAAAGCAATTGTATAGACTGAACATCTGCCACTGTGCCCACCTGACTGGGCATGAGGAGCCAGGGGCCATGGGACAGCAGGGGACTGGCTGCCCCCACTTCCCTTCCCTGTTGGAAACGGGTGGGCTGCGTCCCCAGGACACATGGAATTTCTGGGCCCAAGTTTTCCACAGGTACAAAAGCAGCTGGTCCAGGGGTGGGCTGCTGTGAGCATGCTCCGAGGGCTGATCACTGCCCCTCCCTGAACATGTGGGGCAGACCCCGCCACACCCAGCAGGTCACACAGGTGGCCCCGGCACAGTGAGTGCTCCAGGGCAGACCTGTTCTCTGACCCGGGTGGTGGTTTTGCTTTGTTTTTGAAAGCCAGATTGCAGCATGGTAATTTCAAAAAAAAAAAATACTCATAAACCCAAAAATGCCCCAGCCACTCAGAGGGGCCCTGATGTCCCAGCAGCGGGGACCCTGATGACCCAGCAGCAGGGACCCTGACCCCAACTTGACCTTGAGTCTGACCTCTGACCCTGTCTTCGTGAGCAAACAAGGGAAAAGAAACTGTTTCTTGGCTTCTGTCTGCAGGCTGTGAAGTGGGTCCTTGCTTATCAAATCAGTGTTTGATCATTGGAGGCCTCCCTATATCTTTCACTCACCTTATGCGAACCTGAGGACCTGGGTATTGTTGGGCCCCACTTGCCAGAGCAGCAGTGATCCAAGGGCGTTAGGGTTCCTGCCCAAAGTTGCACACCCATGGGAAGCAAGTGAGGCTCTGACCTGTCCAGTTTCAGACAGGCACGTGAGCCTGAAGAATAACGGTTCTCAGAACAATTGAAGAGGGACCTCGGGCCCTGACGATGCTCGGGAAAGAATCGGCCAGCCTTAACTTAAAAGCACACGCATTATGCCACCTTGAGAGAGAAGTTCTGAAGGACCTACATGAACAGGGAAGGTCACTTGACCAAGAATGGCCCGGCTTCAAGGTCACAAAGTGAGCACAACTACCTGCAGATCGCAATTGGGCCCCAGAGACAATCCCCAGGGCCTCCTGTCAAACCAGGTGGTGTCGGTTGGGCCCTGAGGTGTTGGCCAAGGGAAGGGGATTTTTCCACCATCAGCCAAGAGTCGCCACTTCTGAATTCCTGGGCATCACCAAGGATGCAGAGCAGTGGGTGTGATGCACCAGGACACAGGAAGGCACCTCTGGACACACACAAGTTCCCCCTGGCCCCCCTGTGATGTGCATTCATCTTTATGTAGCTTTCAGTTCTTTCAAGAACAAAGCCACCCTGGCCCCAGGACCTTCTGTTATGAGGAGGAGCTGAAGTAAACCCTCGGTTGGGTGTGCAGAAGCCAAGCTCTGCCACTCCGTTAGACTCATGCCAGCACCCAGTACAGCGGAAATCAAACCTGTCAGCAAGGGCCACAGATGTGTGACGTTCACCTGCAACCTTGATTTAAAAGGCAAAAACTGGTCGGATTTCTGGTCAAGATGGTGGAATAGGTAAATGCTGTACTCACCTCCTCCCACGACCACATCAAAATTACAGCTAAATTGGGCCGGCCGAGTGGCGCGATGGTTAAGAACTCACTTGGGATGCCAGAGGGCCCTGGTTCGGATCCCACATATGAGGGCC